ACAGAAGACGATACTCGAAAGATTAAAGCTAAAAAGAATAAATTCTTTATTAAAAGTAAAAGCTAGAATATAATAAATGAAATTGACCAAAATTTACAAGAAGGCCGGCCAGAATCTCTAGAGGTAAGTTAATAAATATATATAATAATATATAATATATTAATCATTTAATAATATTATATATTTACTATTATTATATTTTAAATATTTAATATAATAAATAATACTATTATATAATAATACCCTATTAATATTACTCCCTTACTAATAAAATATTTAATAGAATATAAATCCTTTAAATTATTGGAAGACTGTAGCTTTGAAATGGCCTACTCTAGCTATAATGGCTAGAAAATATTTAGGAATTCCAGCTACTAGTGCTAGTATTGAACGTGAATTTAGTTATAGTCAATTAATTATAATTAGAAGCTGTACTAAAATTGATCCAAAATTAATGAAGTAAATAATGTTTTTAAAAAGTTGGAGAATTACTAGTATTGAAGAAATTAATCAATATTTATATAATAATATTAGTAATTTCTTTGAAGATAATAAAGAAAAGAAGGAAAGAAAAGGTAAAGAAAATGATTCTAATAGTAGTAGTAGTAATAGTAGTAATAGTAGTGATAATAATAATAATAATGAAAGTAATAAAAATAGATTTATTACTTTGAAGGAAAAAAGGGATTTAGAAAAAAGAAGAAAGAATAAAAGAAACCCTATTGCTATTTCTAGTGAAAGTGAAGAGGAGGAAGAAGAAGGGGATGAGGAATTTAACGAAAATAATAGTAGTAGTATTACTAATATTCGAGAAAGGTTAAGAAGTAGTAATACTATTATTTATAAAGGGGATAGTTATAATAGTGAGGATATTAATTTGGAAGATTTGAATGAAGAAGAATTAAAAGAATATAGAAGAGAAGGTATTATTTTTTAATTATTATAATATTAATATATATTTTAAGTATTAGGGATTGAATTATATAATAATAAATTATATAAAATTAAATTTCTTTATAAATTAGAATTTGAAAGAATTATTAATATTTATATATATTATTAATATAAACCTTAGAGTAAATACTATATTACAAATATAATAGTATAATATATTCAATTAATAAATTCTATTATTAAATCTTTTTTATATTTCTTTATAATATATTTCTTTTATTATTATATAAATATTAAATTTCTAACTATATTAATATTGAAGTTTCCAATATTTATAATATAAAATATTATATTTATATTATTTTCAATTTTAAATAAATTATTTCTAATATTATAGTACTAATATTAGTATTTTTAGTACTAATTCTAGTATTTTAGTACTAATTCTAGTATTTCTAGTACTAACTCCAGTATTTCTAGTACTAATTCTAGTATTTTTAGTACTAACTCTAGTATTTTAAATAATAATTAAATGGTTTCAATTAGGAATCGTAATATTCTTTATAGGTATTAAGTTTAATAAGGGTATAGAGTAACTAGAATAAATTATATTTGAACTAATATTATAATAAAGTTTAATTATAATAATAAGAATAATAATAATAATAAGAATAATAATAATAATAATGATAATGATAATGATAATAATAATAATAATAATAATAATAATAATAATAATAATAATAATAATAATAATAATAATAATAATAATAATAATAATAATAATAATAATAATAATAATAATAATAATAATAATGAAGAGAAAAAGAAAACGAAAAAGAATAATATCCTTTAAAAGATAAATAATTTAATTTTGAATAACTTTTATAAATTAGTAATATTAAAATCTTTTAAATATAATAGTATTTCTATTTAAATAAATTTCCTTAATACTTCCTTAATTATATATACTTTTATTTACAAAAATATCAAAAAGCATTTATATAGATTTATTTACAAAATAGCAACTACTTTTATTTTACTACTATAAGACGAGGAAAAAGGAAAAAAGGAAAAAAGGAAAAAAGGAAAAAAGGAAAAAATGAAAAAAGGAAAAAAGGAAAAAAAGAAAAAAGGAAAAAGAAAAAGAAAAAAGGGGAAAAAGTAAAAAAAAAAAAGAAAAGGAAGAAAAAAGAAGAAAAAAAAGGAAAAATCCTAGAAAATTATCTACGGCTTTTACGAATCTTTACAACCCCCCCCCTAGTTTTCTTAGTTTTAGCACCAAAAGGCCTACCCCTTTTCTTAGGAAGAATAGAAGGATAGGAAGAAGAAGGAAGGTTAATAGAAAGAGGATCTGGAGAAAGTAAACGAGGAGGGGTAAAATATTCAGTGGAAGAAGAAGGAGAAGGAGAAGGTAAAAAAGAAGGATTCTTCTTTGAAGAAGAGGTCTAAAAGAAATTAGTATAATAAATAAAAAATAAAATTAATAAATAATAATCAACCTTAGAAGGAAGAATAGAAATAAAACTATTTCCAATTACTATAATACTATAACCGGGAATTTCTAAAACTATAATTAGTTAATTCGGTTGGGAAATTCCGGAAAGTTAATTGGGTTGGGAAAGTTTGGAAGATTGGATAGTTGTTGAAGACTAAAAAAGAAAAAAAATAATTAATAAATTAAATAAAAAGAATTTTAAAAAGAAAGAAAAAAGAAAAAGGGAAGAAAATACCGGTTCAATAGGTTGGTTATTAGAAGAACTAATAGGTTGAAGAGGTTCGAAAATAAATTCGAAGGTAGGAAGAGGCTAAAAAATAATTAGTAAAAAAAAAAGAAAAAAAAGAATAAAAAGGAAATAACGTACTTCGAAAGTAGATTGGAAATCGAAGAAATTCGGGTCCGGTTGTTCGAAATCTTTCATTGTAGGAAGAGAAAGGAGGGCGTCATTCTAAATAAAAATTAATAAAAAGAATAAAGAAAAAGGTTAAAAAATAAAGTAAAAAGGATTAAAAGAAGAATTAAAAAAGAAATAAAAGAAATAGGAAAAAAGAAGAGAAAAGTAAAGGGGGGGGGGGGGGGGGGAAGAAGAAAAATAAGAAAAAAAAAAGAAGGGGGGGGGGGGGGGGGAGGGGGAAAGGAAAAAGAAAAAAAGAAGAAAAAAAAGAAGAAAAAAAGAAGAAAAAAAAGAAGAAAAGAAAAGAAGGAAAAAAGAAGAAAAGAAAAAAGGAAAAAAAAAGGGAATGAAAATAAAGGAAAAAGAAAAAAGAAAAAAATGAAGAAAATAATAAAAGAAGAAAAATGGAAGAAAAAGAATAGAAGAATAAGAAAAGAAGAAGGGGGGGGAAAGAAAGAGAAAGAAGAAGAAAAAGGAAAAAGAAAATAAAGAAAAAGAATAAAAGAAAAAGAATAAAAGAAAAAGAATAAAAGAAAAAGAATAAAAGAAAAGGAATAAAAGAAAAGGAAAAAAGAAAAAGAATAGAAGAAAAAGAATAGAAGAAAAAGAATAGTAGAAAAAGAATAAAAGAAAAAAAGGTAGGAAAAAAGGAAGTAAACGAACCGAAAGAAAGGAATTGGAAGGAGGTTGGTTACCTTCCTGAAGGAAGGTTTCCAAGAAATCCATTGTAGAAGGTTAAGAGGAAGAGTGAAGTTGAGGAATAGAGTAGAAGAAGGTAGGGTAGTAAAGAAGAGTGTAGATAATTTGGAGAAAAAAAGAATTAGAATTTCTAAGGGAAGGAAGCTATATATATAAATTAGATTTTTCGTTATAAGAATACCTTATTATATTAATATTTAAATGAATTAACCGTTATTTTTATTAAAAGTATTATATTTAATTAAAAGATATAAAAATCTTAATTAAAATAGGAAAGTAGGATTTAAAAAATAGAGGGTAGGTACAATTACATTATATAGTCAACTAACAACCAAGGGTTTGTAATAACGTACGATTTTAATCTCGTATTGAAAAAAAGGACCGAAAAGAATTTAGGGGAGGTGAAATAGTAGATTTGGAATTTTAGAAATGTAGAGGCTCAAAGGGTATTAGTTATTAGGGGGGGTTAAGAAGAATAAAGTTATTATATTACTACTAACCCTACTATTATACTTATTACTATTATTACTACTACTACTATTACTATTACTACTACTACTACTACTATTACTACTACTACTACTACTATTATTACTACTACTACTACTACTACTACTACTACTACTACTACTACTACTACTATTATTATTTACATTCTTTATTTTATACTATTTAGAAGTATTTAAACTATAATATAATTTTCTTTTATTATTCAACTTATAAATATATTATAATTAATGTTAAACAGTACTACTATATAAAGCTTTATTAAATATTAATATAATCTATAAATTTACATTAGTCTTTTTATTACTATTATAGTATATTTTAAAAGAAATTTATATTTATACTACTAAAAGTACTAATTAGTACTACTAAAATACTAATTAGTACTACTAAAATACTAATTAGTACTACTAAAATACTAATTAGTACTACTCTAGTACTACTCTAGTACTACTCTAGTACTACTCTAGTAGTTTCAGTACTAGAGTAGTACTAATTAGTATTTTAGTATTACTTAAAATAGAGTATTTTATCTATATTCTAAATATAGTAAATAATAATAAAAATAGTAAGTTTCAAATATTAAATTGGATTATTGAATATATTTTTCTTAATTTAATTACTATACTTTTCTATCAAATCTACCTAAAAAAATTATTATTTAAATAAAGAAAAATCCCTACTTAGTAATTATACCGTTTTTTTACTTATTTATTTTTCTATAATTTAAACTCAGCGTTAAATATTGTAAAATATCATTTTTCAAAAATTAGTATTTTTAGTATACTAGAGTCTAGTACTAGTCTAGTACTAGTACTAGTCTAGTCTAGTACTAAGGCAGTACTAGTACTAGTACTAAAGTCTAGTACTCTAGTACTACTAATTAGTACTGTACTAATTCCCAACTCTGCTGTTCGGTACATTGTCCCTGGAGAAGACCGGAGAGGGCATGCATAGGGGATATGGTTATGGACGAAAGGCACAATGCCTTGCTCGAAAGGCCCGTATTAAGGGTAATAGAGGGTATCTGTTATTAATCCATCCAGTTGTCCACAGTCCCAATTACACGCTAATCAACGTTAAGTACAGTCTTACTAGGTAAGCATTAACATTCCCTTTCATCTCCTGCAGGCCTCCCTCTTCAACCATCACTCGTCACACTCCCCAGCCGCCTTCAGTGCTCTGCTCACCCTCTGTCCCAACCACTCCTTACCCTCCAACCCGACACTAATCCTCACCAGATCCTCCACCACCCCGAACTCGGCTGCCCACTCCAGCTCTCGATAATGCGCCAACAGCGTATACGCGCAACAAAGTGTAAAATTTGTTCCCAAACTCGGCCCCTTAGCCACGGCCATAGCGTTATAGAATGCTCTGGCCTTGGCTGGGGTGAGGAACTTGATAGAGACTAGGAAGCCGTACCCGCCTTCTTCTTCTAGACTCTCATCGGTAGGTTTAACCCGAAACTGCTCGTAGATATCTTCTGTCAATGACCCTTTGGGATAATAGACTTCTTGCACGCTGGTATGTGGTCGAAGCAAGTTGTGTACCAGCCATTCGGCATTGGCGCTCGCTTTTCGGACGCGGTGGACAAAGTCTCGACTGTTTCGTTCCATAACTGCAATATCGGCCGGGAACCAAGCTCTTTCCTCCTCTCTTCTTTGGGCCCCTTGTTCCTTGGGGGTAATTTCACCCTTTATCTCTTGTCTCTTTCCCCTAACCCCTTCTATCTCGCCGTTCAGACCAGCCGCATACCCCGAATCTCTCTTCTTCTCTTCCCTACTAGCTTCCATCGCCCCATTCAATTCCCCCCCCTCCAACATCCCCTTCAACACCCCATACCTCCCCCCTTCCGCCCGCGGATTCAAAACCAGACACCCCCCCATGACATCACACCCCCCACTCACCATCTTCGTCAAACTGCTCACCACGGCATCACATTTTCCCAAAACATTCACGTTCGCTCCGGTACCTCCGACAGTATCATCCACCACCAATACGAACCCATGTCGTCTCGAAAGCTTATAAAGACCAGAAACATCAGGTGATTGCATTAGTGGATTCCCGGGGAATTCTGTCACCAATAGATCGATTTGCAGGTCGCCCTCCAGGGACTCCGAAAGGGAAGAAAGTGGTGTTGAGTACGGGAAGAGGTGAAGAGTGAAGCCGAGGAGGGAGGAGAGGAGTTTAAGGGTATCGACGTAGAGGAAGCCGAATAGAGCCACGGAGGGGGCACGGGGGGGAACTGAGGGGTTAGGGGTAGAACTGGGGGTGGACAAAACGAGGGATTTGATGGCGGTGGAGAGGGCGGCTGTAGAGGACATGCCTGTGGGGTAGAGGAAGATGTCGGAGGGAGAGACGGGCAAAAAGGGGGTGGAGTAGCTTTTTGCGAGGCGGGTGCGGAGTAAGGAGAGGGCGGTGGTGGTGGTGGTTTCGTCGAAAGGGGTTGGTGGTTTACGTGGGTGGTCTGAACTGGTGGGGGGAGTGGACTGAAAAAAAGGGGCGCATTCCATCCAGTAAGTCGCGCGTCGACTGGAGATGCCAAAGCCGGTGTGTTGCCAGAAGGATTTGGCAAAGGGAAACATGTCGGTGGGGTAGGGGACGAGGAAGATGTCTTCTTGGCCGAGGAGGGGTGGTGGTTGAGCTTTTATTGTTGGGGGCTCGCGAACGGGGGTGATGGTGCCGTCCCAGTGGGCGATGAGGATGGGGAAGGTAACTTCTGGATCAGAAGCAGGGTCAAACTTCTGGCGGAAGAATTGGCGACACATGAGCGCGTGGTGGCCGGTGGAGACGATCAAGGCACGTTTGTCCTTGAGGTCGATATCATTGTCTGAGTGGCTGTGGAGTTGGGCGAAGTGCTCGAGAAGACGGTCGGCTAGGCGTTCGACTACTCGCGGGATGAAGAAGCGCGGGTAGCCGGTTTTCATGGTGTCCACCACGCGGGGGTCTCGCTTTGCCCAGCCGAGTGTGTCTTCCCATGTTGGGAGGTGGACGCTTATTCCCTGTGTAGGTAAAAATGGTCAGTTTGTTCAACAAATGGATGCGAGATGACTTGCGACCGACTTACATGGGGATTTCCAGGAGGAAGAGGCTCCCCAAGCTTGAGGAGTTCAGGATGTTCGATGATTCCCTTTTCACCCATCTTTGTCGTAGTCACTAGTGTATATACCGTATATGTCGGCGTCGCAACAAATTGAAGGGGCAAAGTTCCGATCTTATATATCCACCGCGAATATCACAAAAGGCGGTGATGCGTGTCAGCTAGCCACGTTCAGCCAATGTCCCAGCGCCCGAAAAAGCAAGGCGACACAATCATTGACCCCTTGAAGTTCGTCGGAGTGGAGCACCGATCGCCGAGCTGAAGATGTGCCAAGCACCTAAAAGACGCTGGAGTGTTGCTGTGTTGGAGCTTGATGTGGCAGTGGAGAACGCTGATGTCATGTCTCATGTGTTGGGAAGAACTGGTGGAAGAGTGCGACAGAAAGGAACATGGACAGAGAGGGCCAAAGCACACAACGAACTGAATAGTACACGTGATTTCAAGTTGGACAAGGAGGAATGGGCGGTTAAGTCTGGCTGGTCGGCGTTGTGAATCATGGGCGTTGTTTAGGGATTGGAGTGCTCTGTTTGTCGATCGTTGCACAAAGGACCAGAACATGGGTTTTAGCGCGGATGAATACTTTCTTTTTGGTGAGTAAGGTATGTACACGAATTGTGCATCAACCTGAACGTATCGTGAGTCGGAATGATACAGTGGAGTGGTGCAATGTAATGTATCCTTGTCGATGGAGCCATACCACGCCAAGACCAGCACCCCTGACGCAGATCACCGGGGGGAATCGCTTCCGAGCATGCATACCCCTGATTCACGACAGCCCCAGAATTATGTCAAAAACAACGTCAAATTTCCAGTTCCAGGCCATAAAGACATTTCCAACCTCTTTCGCAGTGCATACCTGTGTTCTCTTTTTTCCAGACCGTTAACCAGAGCCTCCCACATTCCATAAGATTCCCAGAAGCAATTCATTATAAAATCCCGAGTTTTCCCTTTTACAGAACAACTTCATCATCACGCAAGACCACAGTACAGCCAAAGCCAACGCTCACCACACAGCACTGTTACATACCCTTGAGCCTCTCCGCAAATGACCAACATATTGTTCTAATTGCCCATGGAGGACCAGGCCTAAGTCTATGCAATGATGTGGCCCGGGAACTGGAAGAAGAAGAAGGAGAGGAGTTCCTCCTCATTGGCGTCCCAGAGTAAGGACGCATCTGGCTCTGGACCAAAAGAGAAGGCGAGTAGCGATAGTAGTAGTGGCGGCAGCAAGGATGGAAAGACGGAGACTGAGGTCGAGACGGTGGATTACAAGGATAGGTAGTAGTGAGAAGTGAGGTGGGTTGCAAAAATGTCGGATTGTGCAGAGTCAAGGGCGCGGTGGTTTGAAGGAAAATGCCATGGTTCAGTTGGTTTGGTAGAATAAAAAGGGGAAGGTCATGTTGGTAAGGTATGTCTTGTTTACATTGGACGATGAATGTGCATTGAAACTGCTGTGAGAGCGACCGCACGTGCTAGGGGGTTAATAAGTCGAGAGTTCGATCCAACATCTCAACAAACAAAATTGGTCCAGTGGTCGAGCGGTGGGTTGCGCAAAGGGCGTAACTCGCGGGGCTACAGGCGGGACGGTAGAGCGAGGACGCCCCCTGGTGCAGTGCTAGGTTCCGTAGCCTGTAGTAGTGCTGTAGCTGGCGCCTTCCGGCTGTGTCAAATAGGGCTCTTCTACTCCCTTCCAGTTTGCAGTCACGTCCCATGTTCGATCCCTGGACCCAACAATCTTTTTATGTTTTTTTGGTTTGAAATACACTCATTATGAGTAGCATGCCTGTTCGTTCACTACGTTGAACGGGGCCAAGAACTAGTTGCAATGCACTGCGGGTTTGGCTGTGTTGTTTCGATCATCCTTTCCTTGAGAACTTGACAACGTCTCGGCAGCTGGTGACGGTTGGAGCAACCGCCAAATTTTTAGTCATCTGTTTCCCCGACCGACACGACCCGGCGGGACCTTCTACTTACTCGGTAAACAACCCCGCGCCACAAACCAATGCTAAAAAACTGCTCCCGGCTCGAAAATCATTTCTTCCGTCCTTTGACAACACGCGCAGCACTCCTCGACCTGAACCCATCCTCGGATCACACGCGTATTCGGGCCCGCGCTTGTTTGCTTTAGATCAGGTTCAACGGGTTGCTACTATCCAGTTTGCTCCCATCTCCTTTCGTTTGCTCGCGTCCTCTGGTCCGCGACCCTGGAAGCTTAGCTAGAGCGGCGCCATTCATTTGAGTTTCCAAGTTGATGGAAATGCCCGCTACAATGGACAAGGGACAACCACCCGACCATCCAGCTTCTGAACAGGAGCCGCCCGCAAAGAGGCACAAGCCTCTCAGTTAGTAACCCCATTGCATGACAACTAGCTCCAAAAGACTCCACGACTTTTAACGACCCTGCCCTGGAAATCAGAGGGTCGTTACCTTAATGGTGTACTGTCAAAGACCACACGAGTCAGCTAGTACCTAGACATCATGGCTACAGATGGCCCGAGTACCCAAACACGTGCCTGCTCAGGCGCGCAAATACACAACTCGCTGACCATACTTTCCACTTGCTCTAGACTCATATTTTCCTCAACCCTTTCGCGGCAAGATCTTCGTGCAAAACGAAAATCCGAATGAGGAAGAGGCGATTGCCGCGGCCAGGGAGGCCATAGCCTCCGCGAAACGCTCCACAGAAAATGATTTCACAATCGCCTTCTTCACGGATGCTTCGGTGGAAGGAAAGACACTCGATTTGCCCGGCGGATACTCTGTTGTTTTTGACAATTTCTTCCCCGGCACCCATCACTATCGCGAAAGACTCGAAATGGCCTGGCTGATGCCAAACATGATTACCAGTACCATTGGGGAGGCTGTAGGCATTTTACAAGCCCTTCAGGTTGCGATTCACCATCTTCGAGCTATCGCTATCTCGCCGGCTGATATAGCGAGCGCCCGGAGAGTAAATCTGTGCATTTTCTCGGATGCACATGAAGTTATCCGGCTCATCAAGTATCAGAATCTTAACGTAAGCTTCCATCGAGACCTTATAGCAAAAGTCACTGACTTGATTGAACAACTGTCCCATGAGGTCGGAGACATCCCCGGCTTTGATGTTTTCCTGGAGCTTCATTGGGTCAAAGGACATGCCGGCGTCGAAGAGAACGACCAAGCCGATCTCATTGCGAGAAGGGCTCGTCCCATTGAGGATGGAAGAGATATTTTCGTAGCCAGCGGTGAGGATGTGGACGCAACAGCACTACCGCCCGCCGTTCATCTTCTGTTTTTAGACGACATTGCGGCGGAGAAAGCTCGCCAACGGCCACCACGACCCTTGGGCAAACAAAATGATCGTCGCAAGAGGAACGGCAGGAGAACGCATCGAACGCGTGACAACAACGTCCCAAGTCCTTCTTTGCATCCACCCAACGACGACCTGACTTACAGCCCACCTCCTTGGGCTTCACATTCCTTCCGCTTTAGTAACAGTTCCTTGGAGATGCCTCAGTATCCCGCCACTCGCCCGTTTTCTTTTGCAAGCGAAGAGCATCCTCGTGTTTCCGAGAAGCAGACACTCGAAACTGAGGAGCAGAGCCCGACGCCTAAGCAAGATACACCCCTTGACGCCAATAATCATGAGGAGAAGCCTGCGATCGAGATCGAAGCCCTTGAGAGAGATTCTAAACTGGAGCAGGGGGTGGCGGTCATCCAGCCAGCCGTCATTCAACAAGTCATAGTGGGAAAGAGCCGACAGCAGCGCTCAACATCAACAAACCAACCATTGGATTGGAATCTTCGGCAAATGAGCAAGCGCTCACTTGTCTCCAGCACGAAGAGCAAGAGGAGCTGATAGCCAACTTGGAAGTCCAGGTTCCGGAGAAGAACTCTGTGTTGGAACACATTGTCTCGGACAACTTGGCAAGTGTCCCTCGACAAGTTGTTGAGGAAGACAAGCACTCAGTGAAACGCGAGGTCCAGAAACCGGCCATACTTCTGTCCACTGGAATGGAGGTCGCAGAAAATGAGCAAGATGCCACCCCTCACAGCGTGAACGAGCAACACGAGCCAACGACCAAAGCCAAAGACCAGAAGTTCATCATCCACGAAGCCATCGAAGATACAGAACCGTCACCGGACTCTGAAGTCTCGACGCCCGTTTACCAACCGGCTGAAGAACACAACGATTCAGCGCTAGAACCATTGCTAGGCGATCAAGCCTTGATTGATGTTCAGCTGGAGGGTGAGTATGTCGAGTGGTGCCAGCGCCGTCTACAAGACGTTTTGGTTTCAGTCCACAACCACGAAGGGGGCAGCACAGGCGAGACTGATACAAGTGAGGAGGTTATTAGTAGAGAGGAAACCCAAGCGGCTGTTGGCAGACCACTGGCGGAGGAGGTGGAAGCAACTTTGGCCTAGATGTTCGCTTCCGATGTGCAGGGCATGTCTCGTTTGGAACGCGTATTGGCGAAGCTCAAAAACAGGAAAGTTGAACAAGTTCCAAGTTGCTTCTTGCAAGGCAAGGAGCTTTTGGTTGTTTTACCGGGATGATCCCAGGTTTCCGGCTTGTCGAAGCGAAGAAGTCTGGCTCTTTTTTTTTTATGTCTGTGTTAATTTGGCTGGTTCTCCTCTCTGTTGTTTAAGATATCCCTGGTGCCTTGGACAGTGTCGCAAGGCTCTTTGTTTGGAGGTATAGCAAGATGGCAAGTGCTACAAGGGAGGATGTTGGGCGGCTGCTCGGTCCAACATAAAGCGGCAAAAGGATTCACTGTTTACGAATTCAATTGCCGTTAGTAGTTGGCGAGTGGTACTGAGGCACTTCAGCCAGCGTGTGTATATCCTGACCTCTTGCATGATTGGTGGCAGGGTCGATGTCATTCTGGATGCCGCTTGTGAACATGATATATCTACGCTTCTTTTTCATTGAACTCACAATGTATATTTGCTCAGACCAACTATGTGTACTAGTCGCCAGTCTTGACAAGCACTCCCCAACCACCACCAACAACATAAACATCATAAGGAATGAACTCACCACAAAAACATACTTGCCAATCGCCTCTCTCAACTTTGCTGGTTCCAGTTCTGTAGGCTAACCGACGTCGTCTTTCACGTTCCAGCCGTCTTTCAGCAAACCTCCTTGTCACAATCAGTTCTATCCGTGCCCTACCCAGTACCATTACTACGAAACATATCCATCCATTCAACATGTCTTCTTTCGACATTGCCAAAGGCAATGGAAATATGCAGGAACAAACAAGGTGTGCCATGCATTTTTCGCAAGGGAAGAAAGTCTCCACGTGAATTATGAATGATAAATGCGGCTTGGGAACAGCTCTTGTTTAGTTTATCTTTTCGGCGTGCACAAAGTAAACGTACCCAGGCAGGTAGGTAGGTAGGAACAAGGTATGATGGATGAGTGGTGGTGAATGCGTCGATCTGGGAAGGCCATTTATAAAGCACAAGTCCTGGTAGAAAATGCAACACATTCAAATGGACCAGTGGTCGAGCGGTGGGTTGCGCGTGAGGGCGTAACTCACGGGGCTACGGGAGGGACAGTGGAGCGTGGACGACTCCCTGGTACTGGTAGTGCTGGGTTCTGTTATTAAAGTGAAGTGAGACATCACAAGGGTAAGCGAGTATGGTGGTGAACTTGTTGATTGAGTATTAGAGAAGAGAGAGAGAGAAAAGGAGGGAGTGAAAATAAAAATATATATATAAAATATAAAACGAGAGCGAATAAATTATCTATATATAGATCGAAAATGTTATATATTTAATACTCCCCCTTAAACTAAATATAGTTCAAAAACTAAAGCTATTCGTATTCCTCTCTTCTTAAACTACCAAAGGATAAATACGGGCTAGTAAAAACCTAATAGGAAAAAAGGTCCCTGTATTATTAATAAAGAAAATATTATTTTTTTAAAGTAATTTTGGTTATATTTTACTATTAAAGTAAAGTATAGTAAAGCTGAAATTAAATTTAGAATCCGTTTATCGAGTTAAATGGAATGATGGGTAAATTTGCTTTGAAAGGTTGAAATTTATTATAAGACGATTTTTTGCAAATCCTATACAAATGAATTTCGCGGGAATTCGAAAATTGTAATTTAAACCGTCTGGCTGTACGCGCCCTAAAATAGAGGTTGTAGGGATTATAATAGAACGGAACCGAAAGATAGTAAATAATCGAATAGTATTAAAATTCTTATAGTTATAGTACTATAATAATTAACGTAGTAGTTATACACAGAGTATATAAAGTTCTAAAGCTATAGAGTATATATTTATTAGTATAAATAGGTAGTAATAGTATAGTATTAGGGTAAATTTTCTAACGAAGTCCTAATGTATTACGAAATTTAATAAATGTATTAAGTAGTAATACTTTAATTAATCTATCAGCGATTTACTTACTAGTAGGTATATACCGGAAATCGACCTCTTCGGAAGTTTATTTCTTATAATAAAAGAACTATTAAATATTAATCTATTATTAAGAACGTAGGCGAAAGGTAGGCTGAAGTAACTACGGTCGTAGCTATACGTAGGGGATAATAAATTAGGGGTCAATCTAAAAATATATTAATAATTACTAACTATAATAAGATATACTCCGTTAAACCTCTTTTATACCTATATAAACTCTATTCCTCTGCTAACAAGTATTATAGAGCCTCATACTAATCTAGCGCCTCGGCGCAGTGCCGGATTATCCTTCCCGTAAGTCTAACCCAATATAAGCGTTATTGTAAGTGATTTTACACTTTAATTAACGAAGGGGAGTAGTAGCCATTGAAGTACCTTTATATACAAGTTTTTAACTTCTTAATACGACCCCCCCCCTTATAGGTTCCATCTTTAAAACCTCTATAATAAATACCGGGTACTATAGTATTATTAGGTATTATTCGCTATAGCCGCCAACGCCGTATTCTAAATTATAACCGCTCTATTACCAGCGAACCGCCGTTAGAATATTGGCATTATATTGTCCATTTTCGTAAATTCTAAATGCAACTACGAAATTAGTATTAGATCTAAAGAGCTGGCGTTCCGCCTACTAGTATATTAGCGCTATAATATTTATTTTTATAGATTCTAAATGCAGATACAAAACCGGTATTAAATTTAAAGTATTAATATACTGTCCGTTAGAATATTAGTATTATAATATTTATTTTTATAATTCTAATATAGATACGAAATAGGCATTAGGTTTAAACATTTAACGTCCCGTCTATTAGAATATTGGTATTATAAGGTCTATTTTTATAAATTCTAAATATGGATACGAAACCGGTATTAGATATAAAGTGTTAGCGTTCCGCCTATTAGAATATTGGTATTATAAGGTTTATTTTTGTGAGTTTTAAATACGGGCACGAAGCTAGAATTAGATATAAAGCGTTGGCGTTCCGCCTGTTAGAATATTAGTATTATAATATTTATTTTCGTAAATTCCAAATACGGATACGAAACTAACATTAGATATAAAGTATTAGTATTCCGCCTACTAGAATATTAATATTATAATGTCTATTCTTATAAATTTTAAATATGGATACGAAACTATTATTAAGTTTAAAAAGTTAACCGGGTTCTCGACCGTTACTAAGACTATTATTCTATAGGCGTACGAGGTAGTAAACTTCGTTTTATTCAATAAGGAATATTATATTGAATTCAAGAGTATTAATAAGTACCTTAGGATATTAACGTAATTACGCTCTATAGTTCCTCTTACCGGACACTTTTTATTATTTATATTTATAATGCGGCTTAATATTCTCGTAAAGTACCTTTTATTATTTATACTTATTATATAATATTTGTATAATTAAAATCTAAGATTCCTCTTATAAGCTATTCTCTATTATTTATATTTATTACAATTTATTACAATATTTAAATACAATTTCCCTCTTTATAAATTCTATCCTTAGGACCTTTATTTCCTTCTTCTACCTTTTATAACTTTATATACTATTTCTTCTATAAATTTCCTTTATTTATATTATTCCTTTTTAATTACTTTCCTATTACCTTCGCTTTATTCTTTATATTACTCCTTCTATTTTAATAGTACGATTTTTAATTATTTCCTCCATTCTCCCTATTATAATTCGAATTACGTACCTTCCTATTTTCCGCCTTTTTCTCCTACTTTTTTACAACTATTATTATTATTTATTCGTCTTATCTTTCCCCTTTTAACTATTATCCTCGTTTTATTCTTCTATTTACCCCCTTTTATTATTTATATAATTATTTAATACTCTATTTACCCTATATTATTTTATATTCGCCTACCTTAAATTATATTCGCTTATTTTAATTTATATTTATATAAGGACTTCCTCCTTCGTTTATATAATATCCCTTTCCGCCTACCCTTTTCACTTCTCTTCTCTTCCTTTTTCTATCCTTACCTTTATAATTATATTTATTACCCCCTCCTTTAATCCTATAATTACTTCGCCTACCCCCTCGCTTAAACTAGCCTCCATTATAAACGTACGTATCTTTACTATATATTTATATACTAATCCCTATTTCCTTCATAAATCCAATTAATATATTCGCTTTTCTTCCTTATTTTCTTCCTTTTTATTCTATTCTCTCCTTCCTTTCGCTTTACACTTATAATTACCTTTTAATCGGCTACTCCTTTTTTATCTTTTAATAATATCCGTCCCCTTATTTATTTAGGATATAATGTTATTTTAGCCTAAGCGTTCATTAGTACTTTAATTTTAAATTTATATAAAATATTCCGTTTAATTAACACATATACTTACTAAATTAAAAGTATATTATCTTCCCCTTATTATCTTTTCTATTTTTTTTTTTTCTTTTTTTTTCTTTTTTTTTATTAACGTCTTCTCCTTCTAAAATTCAACAAAAGATTGTAATATTCATTATTACTACGCTATTATATATTTAAAGTCCCTTATAGTATTTATAATTTTTAAAATAATATATAAAATATAGTAATTAAAATTATACGCCTTACTAATATTAGTAGCCTCCTACTTACCCCCCTCTTATAATAGTTATATTAGTCCGTAACGGCTTTTTAAATTGCAATATAGGTGTAATTTATTAATAATAGTCTCCCTACAATATTATTTAATATATTCCAAATTAGGAATTTCGATTATAAGGGTTCTTTGAAATTTAATTATTATAGTATTAGCGATATTAATATTAATATTAATCTAGTAGCCTTTATTAGCGGTTTTATTATTAGTAATAACAGCTCTCCTATAAATATTTTTACGTTAAATTCTCTTATTTATATTACCCCCTAAAAAAAAAAAAAAAAAAGCTCGCGAAAACGTTAAAACGCGGGTACTTAGTCGACGACAGCGACAAAATCGTTTTTAATATTAGAATCGTGTTCGGGACGTCCGATTACCCCCCTCTACGATGCCGCATTAGTTGCGTATCGAAAGCGCGGGTATCGAGGCGGCTGGAAGCGTTGGGGGCGGGTTAGTATCGAGCCGATACGTACCCGGGGCGACCGGAGCTAACGCGACGATAATAATACCCCGAGCTGGTATAAAGCCGGCGGAAGTTTTAGAAATTTTGAATTTACTTTAGGAAATATAAGAGAAATTTATAAAAGAGGCTATAAATTTTTCTAGTATTAATAACCTATTCTCCGTTCGAGTAGTATAGGTTGAAAAACTTTTCGGGATCGCGGCGGCTACCCTACGCGCCCGCGGCTAGAATTTTTAAATAAATAATTATAATACAAAATAATTTTAGAATAATATTAAAGAATTAAAGAAGATAATTGCTAAAATAGCGAAAATATAAAAGTCCCTCCTATTAAAATCTTAGGCTGTAATCGCTACGGGTACGAACATCCCCCCTATAGGCCCGAAGAGACCCTATTTTATATTAATAAGTATTTAAATTATTATCCTCCTCCGAATTGAATAATATTTAATAATTAAATTAAATAGAAAACCTTTACCGGTTAATAAAAAGCGATGTTTAATAGTAGAAATGATTAATATAATTAATAAAAAATATTCTAAAGCCGAAATTAAAATAGTAATAAAATTATATTTTAGTAGAAATTATATAGTAATATTTAGTAAAGAAGGAAGGTACTAGTATTTTAAGAAT